GGGCTTGGTGTGACGTCACAGAGTAATGAAACTGTTTGATTTTTGTGACCTGATTAAAAATGAAGCTGCTCATGTTCAGGATGTCCAGTTTTGTCCTTTGAAACAAATAAAAGTGACGCTGGAAGCCGGAAGTCTTTGTTTTTCTTCAGTGTGCAGATTCATCCTGATTTATTTTGTGCTTTGGTTGCATTTAGAGTTTCTTTCATACAGAAATGTTTCATCGTGTTTATTTGGACCCAACAACCTTTGTTGAGGCCGTTGTTTCTGTTTCCATGTGTGTTAGTTTTGTGTTGTGTGTGTTTGTGTGCAGGTCGTCCACAGAGAAGCTTCTCCATCAGCTGCAGGAGGCGTTCAGACGTCTGTCTTTGCTCTGCTGCAGCCTCTGAGCGCGCTCACATTAAAGTGGGCGTTGCCTGCTTCAGTCAGGGTCATCATCAGATCGGTTTGAGGCTCTGAGCTGAGGTTGAAGGTTCAAATGCAGCTTTCAGCTTCTTGTTTCTAGAAAGTGAGTTTGTAATGGTTCCCACCACTGCCACAGTGGGACCTCCACACTGCTGTGGACACAGGCGAGCGGCTCAGCAGGGTTGGAGAAGGGTCACAGCTGTGAGGGTCTCAGGTTCAAGTTCAGCTTAAGTAAACTGCCCTTATCTGCTGGTTTGGATTCATTTTTCTGTGTTTGAGCTCAAACACGAGCGATGTCAGTGAGTCTCAGCTGCAGCCACGTTTCACACTTTAGTAGATCAGCTCTTCATTAGTGCGCGACAGTGTTTGTGTCTTTGTCCTGTGAGAGCAGGTCGGCGTGTGACTCTGGGCCTCCTCTCAGAGGTTCAGATCCCACTTGAAGTTTGGCTTCAGGTCCTCGTGTCACAGATCAGTGGCGTGGTCAGACGCAGGGTTAATGTTTGGTGATTCCAGTTTGCTCCCGTTTACAGTCCAGCTGCAGGATTTTGGAGCGGCTCGTTTTTATGGCAAAAAGTTTGAATGTTCATAATGAATGCAGTCAGTTTTTAATGTCATCTATCAAATACTTTTCCAACAGATATCTAGAGGATAACTGTGTGATTGGTGCATTTTAACCTGAAGCATCAGCCTCTGACAGAGCAGCGGGTCCTGAACAGAAATCTGATCTGCAGACTCGGGTTCAAACCTCCTGATATGTTTGTGTTTGTGTGAGTGAATCTCAGCCTGTGAAGCATGAAAACAACATTTTCTATATTTTAGTGTTAAAGCTTTTCTGCTTTATTTTGCAGTAAAGTGAAATTCAAACATTCTGATAATCTTCTGCTGTAACAGGATGACTTTATATTTGCACTGGTCAGATACTGACACAGCCTGAGGTCACATAGTTAAACAATGATCACTGAAAACAGGCTGATGGACTGAGACAAATATAGATCCATACTTATAAACCTCTCGGTATATAAACACGGCGGTCGAGCAGCAGACAGAATGACTCAGCAGCGTTTCCACA